TTTTTTTTTTTTTTTTTTTTTTTTTTTAAATTTTATTTAATGTTATTTTATTTTTGCCGGAAAATGACCTCCAATGAATGATCAGAAAAAAGAAAAAACAAACACTGACTAAAGAAATGACTTTAAGGTATTACATCATAAAGTCAAATCATGATCTGACCCCTCTGTCAGATGGACCGCACCATTTCACAATACCTGTGGGGGGGTGGGAGCATCAGATGGCATGTTCAAATGTGTTTTAATGATAAAAATACATGTATTTATCATGTAAATACATATCAGTACAAATAAATGTAAATACAGATTGTATTTTCAGTGATATAAGTCAGTAAGTAAATTGTACGTGATCCAATTTAAAGGTCAATCATAGATCTTTTTAGGGGCCCCCCTTGACCTTGGGCTGGGGTCATCTCAGTAATTCACCCACAAGCTGTTACCACCAATATAACAAAGTCTTGAGAGACAGGTGAGGGAGCGTGTGACGAGGATATCACTGGTTTATATCCGACAGCAGTTTGATAATTGAAACGTGAAGGTGGGGAACATTTACAGAAGCATCAAGAGATAAGAGTTAAGTTTGAAGGTTGGAAAGAAAAATGTTTTCACTCACAGCCTCCTCTGTCCCGTTCATACTTGGCTTCCAGACCAGCGAGTCGTTACTGAACTGCACCTTGTAGGTATGGACCACGTTCCAACTGTGTGTGGACAAGACACGTGGAGTTTTGTAGTACATTACATTTCATGTGTGATACACAGAAGAATCTCAACGTAGGGCTTGAGTCCAAAACAAGCCCCCCATCTACCATCAGAGAAAAGATTATGCATTTTTTTTTCTATTTAAAGGATTAATCAGTACAGTAGTGGTGGTATGTGGTGGTAGCAGTTGCTGGATACCCAGAGCTATACGGCCTGACTATAGACAGCAGGTTGTCAAACTGCCCCTGAGTCATCCTAAAATATGCCTGGAAATGTCTATCATGGAAGAGAAGCTCCTGGACCAAATGGTGGTACTCCCCATGATCCAGCCTCTTTTTTAGGGTCTCATGTACCCACACAGATCTCTGTTTATCTGCTGACAGCCTCTCACCCTCAACCAGAGCTACAGACAGTACCCTCTGCCTCAACATGTCAGGAACTAGATACTAATTACTATCATATAAATAATGTAAATAAATAAACAGTAAATTGATTACTCCTGAACTCCGTCACATGAAAACCCGTAAGCGCCGGCTTGAAAGACTTTACAAGAAAACCAGTCTCACAGTCCATCTCCATGCCTATACAGACCACCTTTCAAACTACAAAGACGCCCTCACTGCTGCCTTGTCCAACTACTACTCACAACTCATTCACTCTTGCTCCATTAACCCCAAGACTCTCTTTTCCACCGTCAATAAACTCCTCAAACCCTGCGACAACACCCTCTTCTCCATCACAACTGACACATGCAACTCCTTCCTGGCATTTTTTTAATCAAAGATCGAAACCATCTACACTCAACTCAGCAACTCAAATCATACCTCACTGACAGACATCCACACCAACAACTGCACCTCTGCCATCGTCCCCCTGCTTCAAGGTGTCCCTCAGGTCTCGGTACTTGGTCCTCTCCTCTTCATCATCTACCTACTCCCCCTTGGTTCCATCATCCGTCGTCATGGTCTCCATTTCCACTGCTGCGCTGACGACATCCAAATCTACATCTCCACAAAATCCATCACCCTGGCCACCCGCTCTACCCTCGCCAACTGTCTGACTGAACTCCAATCATGGCTGCAAGCCAACTTCCTCAAACTCAACTGTGACAAATCTGAAATAATACTCATCAGCCCAAAATCCTTCTCTACAGCAACACAAAACTTCACCCTCAGCATTGACAACACCACCCTCTCTCCCTCCCCATTCATCCGCAACCTTGGTATCATCTTCGACAATAACCTCTCATTTGAACATCACATCAGCCGCCTCGCCCAAACTGCCTTCTTTCACCTTAGAAATATTGCCCATCTCCGTCCATTACTCTCCTTCTCTGCCGCTGAAACTCTCATCCATACTTTCATCACCTCAAGATTGGACTACTGCAACAGCATCCTCTACGGCTCATCATCCAAAGTCCTCAACAAACTTCAGTACATCCAAAACTCTGCTGCCCGCCTCCTCACCCACACCAGCTCCCGTGAACATATAACCCCTGTCCTGCAAAACCTACACTGGCTCCCTGTCCCGTACAGAATCAATTTCAAGATCCTCCTCACCCACAAAGCCCTCCACAGCCAGGCCCCCTCCTACCTCACGGACATGCTCCACCACCACACTCCCTCCCACAACCTTCGATCATCCGACAAAAACCTCCTCTCACCCCCACACAGGACCAAGCACAGAACCTGGGGCAACAGAGCCTTCTCCATAGCCGCCCCCTCCCTCTGGAACACCCT